CTGCGACAGCAGAAACAGCGGCAGCAGGGAGAAGCGCACACAGTGATGGGGACAACTGGGTTCAAATTGCCAAATGAAAAGTGATTTTGAATTGACCAATCATATTGACAATACGGATAACTAACCGGTCGTCGGAATGCCGTCGGAATTTTTATGGTGCTAAGGGTATGTTCAGTGCATTTCGCGAGATTTGCGCATATTTGGAACTCGTACATATCTTGATTTGCAAAAGAAGGATATTTGAAAATAATGACATTGAACACAATTCAACAAAAGAAAAGTTAACACCTTCAGGATGAATATACCGCAACAAGTAGTAATGTAACGAAGGACTTTTGTAATATTCATTATGAAAGGAAAGTGCATGACTGGCCTTAGAAAGCACGCGTCGATTCCACTTCATGGCAACACCAACGAAGGCAGGCAAGTCCGCCAAGTGGACGGATGAACTCGACGCTGAGTTTGTGGTCTTGTATGCCGAAGCAGCAGCAAAGAGCGAATACGTTGCAAGTGGTGGAAAGCAGCTCAAATCCAAGGGATGGTCCGATATCCTCGTGCGCCTTGGTGGGCGTGGCAACATCACAAACGCGAGCCAACTGCAGTCAAGATGGAAAAGGCTGAAGGAAGATTACGTCGATTACAAATGGCTCATGCTGAAGTTTTCGGGGGACGGCTTGGTTGGCGTGTCTGAAGATACGTGGGCTGAGCTGGACAAGCACCCAAGAAGTATGCCGTTGTCGCGCTTCCGGGAACGGCCATTTCTCCACTATGATGCTATCGCAGAGATAGTAGGTGATGCGATGGCAACTGGGGAGTACATTCGTGGAATGCCCACGGCTGGAGCTGAGGTGGCTGCTTCGGGGGTCTTGGACATGTCGGAACCGGATGTGTTATCGTTGTCCGCTGCCCAGAAGCGCAGGAAGCTAATCAATGACAGCATGAAGCAAAAGCGCATAAAAAGAGATGAAGAGTCGGCTGCGTCATTGGCGATCAAGCAAAAGAATAGTGACACGCTGGCATCGATGTGCACCACGATGCAGATGATGACAAAGATTTTGGCTGCTAAAAACAACCTCCAGCACTTACTTGATAACGATGAATAGATTATATTCTTCGAATTGTTTGTATTGTGATCCAAATATTACCTAGTGTGGTCGTGTGGGTACGAACGGGTACGTGGGGGGCGTGTGGGAAAGCAGCATTAAATATCACATTTAATCTTGGTAAAAACACATCACCTTCGCGAATGGCAGTGGACTGATAAATACCATGTCAAATTTCCGTCCAAATTTCAAAAAAAATTAGAAATCTAATTGGCTTTGGGGCAATACGTTAGTTGGTATTAATAAACTAATATCCGCTAGCTGGGATCGAACTCGGGGACAATTGCAATGACTGATACCCTTGTTTTCAATACACTTTCAGTCTGAGGATACCTCCGCGATTTAATCGTGGTGCAATGGATAAGCTGGTGAAATGCTGGATGACTGTTGCAAGTAGCACTTTCAGTGTGAGGGGTGAAGGATTAGCATGGGGCCCGAAAGGGCAGTGCTCTTTTTTAGAACATTGAATTTGTTTATATGAATTCATTTTATTACATATATTCAAGATGTGTAGTATAAAATGTACATCGATGAAAACATGTACAATTGTTATTAGAATTCTAGCTCATCTAGGTACTCTACGTAAGCTTCCCACATTGTGTTCGCAATTGCCTCCCTCCACCTTTCTTGTGGGTGGTTCATTGTTTGGAGTGCGTCTTGATGCAAATCAAAGTCGTCATCTTGGTTCGACCGCATCACAAGGTCCGAAATGTCATCCATGTGCGATGGATTGCAGGCAATACATAAATTGTGTAATGCAGCGCAAACATGAATCACATCAATCGAGTATTCAAGCTGCAACCGCAAGTTGCTTGAGAGTACTTTCCACTTGATCTTCAGCATGCCAAACGCACGTTCCACGACAATGCGGGCCTTGGAGTGCCTGTAGTTGAAACATTCCTTGGCAGTCTTGGGTCGGCCGTCCGTATTCGCTGCCCACTCGCGGAGATGATAACGTTGGTTTCTGTACGGCGTCAGCAGCACCTTGGACAAACGGTAGCCAGCATCACCAAGGTAAAAGTAACCGCTTGGGACGCTTCTTTCAAACTCCGTCTGGCTGTATATAAAGCTGTCGGATGAGCAGCCTTCACCACCCGCAAAGACAGCCACAAATCTTCCCAACTCGTCGACGACACCCAATACGTTCGTCGATGTGTGGCCCTTGCGATTTCGTAATCGATCTTGCATCTCCGCAGACACCACGATGGGGATGTGGGTACCATCCAAAGCACCAAGACACTTGTTGAAGGTTGGATGCTCTTGACGAAATGCTTCACAGCTGGAGCGCACGCGGTCGGGTTCATGCGGATCCGAACCATAGAATCCACCGTCAACCAAGCCTTTGGTGATTGCGCGTACACCAAGCTGTCGATAGTAGGCCAGCGTAACGTGGTTGTGGTCTTGGAACAACTGCTCTTGACTCCGCACCGACACGCCGCTTGCGAGCCATTGTAGTGTAACCAGCAGGACAATCCGTGCATCCAAAGTCGCCGGCAGGTGGGGCTTCGAAAGCTGAACAATCAACCCGACGGCATCTTTTGACACCCGGAACTGCTCGAGGTACAGCACGTCGCCCCCGTGCGGGAGCTCTTCTTGAATGTCGAGGAAATCCATGTACCCGTGTACTGGCCGAATGAACTTTTGTTGCGGCTGTTGGGCAAACTCTGTATCGTCAACTTCCATCGTGCATGCCGCGATAGCTGTTGACATAGCTTGTAACATGATTCCGTCTTCGTCGTCCATTCTTTTTGTGACACCATTCACTGTATAAATAGGTTCCTCCTACGACGATGATTTTCCTCCACATGAAATATCGGCCAAGAATATCCAGCTCCAGACATGGATATTTTTGGCGGATATTTGGCTTGGGAATATCTGGGATATTGAAATATGGTGTGTTCAGTGGAACTTCGAAATATCCGGATATATCCACTAAAATATCTGCACGTGGCCGAAATGTGCGCATATTTGCTGTCATTGAACAGGCCCTAAATGTAATACTACAGACTGTACAAGTAACCGACAAATTTTACTTATTGCCAACACTGTCCCACAA